CTGAAAAGGAAAGTCTCCTCACTTTGAGTTCGTTTTTTTTTAATTCAGGATTACCTGTTATTTTAGAATTAGCTTACAGGTTAAAAATTTATAGGAATTTTAAATAGCAAAAATTGACTCTTGTTATTAACAGGTATCTATTATTTTGTTATAAATCACCCTAAACTTAATGACATAAAAGAATAATCATTTTGGTTTTCATGTATCACAGTTCTGGGGTTCAGCTGGGATCAGCTGAACAGTTCTTTCTTGGGATCTTTCATTTGGTTTCAGTCTGATGATGATGGAGCCTGGACACATCTTAAGGCCAGTCATTCACATGTCTGGAGGTTGAAGCTGGATGTCAGCTGGGACCTCAGCTGGGGTGTTGGCTGGAACTACTCCACACCTCTTCTCCCTGTTGTTTCTCTACTTCCCCATGACACAGGGACTAGATTTCTAGAACAAGCTAGTGTCACAAGAGGTCCAGGCAGAAGTCACATTAACATTTACAACTTAGCCTCAGTATCACATACCATCATTTCTGCCACAGCTTAACCAATTAAGGGAGATGAACATAGACCCCTGCCCTCACCTCTCTGTGGTAGAAATGTCAATAAGGCATTGTAAGGAGAAGAGATGAGAAAGGAAATCTTACTGTGGCCATATTGGAAAAAAATGACCTGCCACAATTCTATAGATCAATTTAGGAAAAACTAACGTCTTCAACACTATTGGATTTTCCTATCCATTAACATGGTAAAACTCTCTTTATTTAGATTTTCTTATTGTATTTAAATAAACTTTTATTTTTCCACAAATATCATATATATATTTTGTTAGAATTTTCACTAGGCACCTTATTTACCTTTTATGTCATTGTAAAGGTTATCTTTTTTAGAATATATTTTCTAGCATTAGTTATTGGTATGTAGTAGTATTGCTCATTTTTATATGCTAATTTTGTATTTAACAAAACTGCTATACTATCTAATTAGTTATAATAAATTACATCTATATTCTATTGAATTTTCTACATAGACAATCTTGTCATCTCTGACTAATGATGATAGGATTTTTTTTTTTTGATGATAGGATTTTTTTCCAATTCATTTTAACACAAACTTATACAGTACTTACCACATTCCAAGCACTGTTTTAAGCACTTTTAAATAATAACTAATTTAACTTTCCTCCATCAAGGTAGGTATTATTATCTCCATTGTATAGACTAAAAACTGAAGCATACAGAGGATAAAATACTTAGCTAATAAGTTTAGTTATTGAGCTTATTCATTACTTAGTTCACAAGCAATACAGAAATGATTTAAACCTAGGCAGTCTGATCCAAAGTCTATACTCTTAAACATTAAATCATATGGCCTCTATATATATTTTCTTCCTTTTTCTTCCTTTACTGTACTAGCTAAAGTTTGTAATATAATGTCAAACAGAATTGGAGATAGCAGGCACCCTTTTGTTTTTTATGATCTTAAAGCCAATGTTTTCATTATTTTATAGATAAGTACTATGTTTTGTAGATTACTGTTCATCAGATTAATGTAATTCCTTTCTATTTTTACTTTGCTAAGTTCTTTTCCTTCCTTCTCTTTTCTTTCATCATTTTTTAAAAAATAACAACTATCAATGTATGCTTAATTTATTGAAGGATTTTGCTAAATCTATTAGGAGAATCATGCTATTTTTGCCCATTCATCTCTTAGTTTGGTAAATTACATTATGTGATATTTCTAATGTTTAATCAATCTTCCCTCTGGAAAGAATTTCATATTATTACACATTGCTAGATGTCAGTGTTCTAATATTTTGTTTAGGAATTTTGAATTTTAGTTTAAAATGAAATTGACAATTTTTTGTCTCATACCTCATACCACGTTTAAGGTTGACTGAAAAAGAATTGAAATGTATTGATATTTTTCAAGTTGTCTTTTTATAAATTCCATTTGAATTTCCTACTGATAATAGAGGTAGTTGGTATGATAGCAATTTTTAATAAACATTTATGTTTTGATACTTCTTTTATGGCAAAATGTGTTGAATTTTTACAAGTATTGTGTGTACTTGAAAATAATAGATATCATTTCGCAAAACTTACTGAAATAGTAGATTCAGACAATGGTTATCATGGATAAAACCATTAGAAGAAAGGTTGATGGAGAATGAAGCCTGGAGGAATCAGGCAATCACCAAATCAATCAGCTGATTTTTGCATTACTAAAGGAAGGACAAACAGAATTGGTGCTATCTCATTGTAATGCAAGAATGTTAAGTAATTCCACCCTTCCCAGTCCCAAGTTGAGACAAAATCTATTCAAGCCTTTAGAGTTAAATTCCATTTATAGAGACTAAAGAAGAATGAGGAACAAGTTAATTAACACCACAGTGAAGCAATCAGATAAATCCAGAATGTGAGATATTTTTAGAAATGACCCAGTTTCTTTAATCAGTCAATGGCTTAAAGAAAAACAGAGGCAGGGGGTTGGGGTGGTGGTGGTGGTGGTGGTGGGGGGGGGGTACTTCCCTGGTGGTGCAGTGGTTAAGAATCTGCCTGCCAACGCAGGGAACATGGGTATGAGCCCTGGTCCGGGAAGATTCCACATGCCACAGAGGAACTGAGCCCATGCGTTACAACTACTGAGCCTGCACTCTAGAGCCCGCACTACTGAGCCCATGTGCCACAACTACTGAAGCCCATGCTCTGCAACAAGAGAAGCCACTGCAATGAGAAGCATGCACACTGCAACAAAGAGTAGCCCCTGCTCACCACACCTAGAGAGAAAGCCCATGCACAGCAACGAAGACCCAGCACAGCCAAAAATTTGAAAAATAAATAAATAAATAATTACTTTTTTAAAAAAAAAAAGAAAAACAAGGGGTAATAAAGGAGAACAGCTTCTTTGACCTTATTTCCAATAAACCAAGTGTAAGACACATTCTTAGACAATCAGGATAATTTTAATATAGTGTGGACTGGATTTTGGATGATATCAATAAATTATTGATAATTTTATCAGAAATATTTATGTTATGGTTATGTATAAACAAGTTCATGTTTTTTAGAAATTCTTGCAGAATTATGAAGAGATGGTATAATAACACAGTCAAAATTTGCTTTAAGTTTTGAAGGAACAAAAGAAAAGAATATGAAACATGTTCTATATATGTTCATTAGATCAAGCTTGTATAAATTTTTTCAAATAAATATCCTGATTTATTTTTCTCAATTAATTATAGGTATAGTTAAATATTCACTTATACTTGTATTTGTCTTAATTTTTGTTTTATATATTTTTGAGGATAAAATCTTGCTTTATATATTTTAGGTGCATAATATTTAAAAATTTTTTATTTTCCATTGTACTGAGTCATTCATCATTATTTAGTTATCTCCTTTAATCTAAGTAATCCTTTTTAGCTCAGTGTCTACACTGTCTGATATTAATCAACTGCACTAGATTTTTTTTCTTTTCTTTTTTTTGGGGGGGAGTATAGTATTAGTGGTATACCTTTTGCATTCTTATACATTCAACCTATTTGCATTTTAATGTACTATATATGTCTATTTGTCTTTCATTGTGTCATTTACTCCATTTAGATTTATTATAATTATTGATGGATTCAGGCTTATTTCTACCTTATTTTGAAGTACAGATCGATCACACTTTTTCTATATGTTTCTGCTGTCTTTATTTTCTTCTTTTGAATGAATAGAATATGGTCTCTGATTATATTTTTTTTCTTTTTACTTAATACTCTATTTCTTTTAGTGATTACTTTAGGAATCTTAACATGCATACTAATTGATCAAATTCTAAAGCTAATCATTTTCTTTACTCTCCTTCTGAACAAATGTTAGAAGACTATAACTTTGATAACTCCTTCCCTTTTCACGCATTATTGCTTTATGTATTTTTATGTAATCTTATTTTTTTCTTTTACAAACACAAAAGTTTAAGTATTGTTTTATATAGTCAATGTTTGTTTAGACTTCCCAACTTATTAGTTACTTTTTTTGATCCTTATTCTTCCTTGCATCTCAGACCTTTCACATGGAACTGCTCTTATTTTACCCTTGCTCTTGAAAAATACTTGTTGAATATAGAATTCTAGGTTCACGGTTATTTTCTTTTAGGGCACTGAAGGTATTCTATTTTCTCTGGCTTCCACTGCTACTGATAAGAAGTCAACTATTAATTTAATCATCATATTTATTTAGACAATTTATTTTTCTGTCTGATTTTGAGATCTTCTCTTTGTCTTTGGTGATATCCAGCTTTAGCATTATATATTTAAATGTGGATTTTTAAATTTATCCTACTTGGGATAACTCAATCATGTGTTCTCCCTTTTTGTTCTTGCTGTACTACATTCCAGATAATTTCTTCAGATATATTTTCCAGATTATTAACTCTCTTTTTATCTGTGTCTAATTTGATTTTAGAAGTACTGAGTTTTTAATTTCAATTATTATATTTTTCTTTCATTGATCTCTTTGGTTAATTTTATACTTGCTTGGTCATTGTTCTAAATAAACTCCCCTCTCCTACTCATTTTTATCCTCTATATTAATTTATTAAATATATTAAACCTAGTCTTTTTTGATATTTCCAATATAGGAAGATTTTGGGTAACATTCATTCTGCTCATGTTTCCTGTTGCTTTTTATGTTTTGTAATTTTTGAAATTGAGTTCATATTCTTTGAAACTTTACTTACACCAATTTGTTGTGGCTTGGATGGAAATAGGCTCCTTTAGATAGAATTTGCATTTACTCTGGCTAGGTGCCTGGGGACACTAGTAATTCAGCATCACTTTAATTGATGCATGGCCTGAATTTTATTTGAACATATCCAGGCACTGTGGATTCCATCTGCAAACCCAGCCAGTAAAGATTGGCTTGTGGTATGAATTCCCAAAGAAGAGGTCTTTCCTTTAGTCAAGGTTCAAGATGAGCAGTTTATCTTGCTGATCCCTTGGGAAAAGGTAATATTTCTACTTACTGAGAGTGTGGCTCTTTAGGGTCCCAGCTTTATGGAGAGGGTCATCTTTAGATGCCATGTTCTTCACTTGTGAGCACTGCAACCTTTGAGAATGTCAAAAGGAAACAAGTTTAACTGGGTTTGATCACTGCCCTCAGGACAGAAATTATACTAACTGTTTTACTTGCCTCTTGGGTTCTTACTTTCACTTCATTTTTGACCTCTGAGAACTACTAACTTTCTTCCCATGTTACTGATATACCTAAAATATGTATTTTTATATTCAAATCAATACTTTTAGTTGTTTATGTGGGAGGATTCATCTCTGTTAAACTACTGGAAGAAACAGTTTCAAGAACTCCCACACCACCTTTGTCTGAGTGAATTACTTAAATGACTGGAAGAACTATCTTAAAACTAGAGAATCACGTGCCTGGGTTTGCACTAACCACATTACTCACAACTGGCAAGATGCAATGCAGCTACAAGTGGTTCCAATGGTCAGAGTAAGTAAGTGTAAATACCATAACATTCTTAGAAGGCTCATATGATACCACATTAACCGAAGAGAAGACACTGAAGTTCATTAGGTAGTTCCTTAGAACTTAGAATCTTAATTTAGATGGCAATAGTGGTGACTACAATAATAAAGTCGTTTGGCTGAGTCAGTGAAGGAAACTGGAGATTTGGGTTTGGAGTTAAAAGTAGTGAATATGGTTCTAGATTGTCTGCCCACAGGTGTGTCTTCTAAACTCACCTCTGCCATTAATGGTTTCTGTGAAGCTAGGCAAGTCGCCTCTCTTCTCTGGGCTTTATTTTACTTATCTGTAATGTGAAGATGCTGAAGGCATGTGAGACAAAATCTGTGGTCTCTCAACCCTCAATTACCACTTTATATCTCCTCTAGGGTCACCATATTTCTTCTGGTAATATGCCCACTACTAATGTTCAAAGGGTTTTTACTTAGTGATTCTAAAATGTTTCAAAAGATAATGAAATTAAGAATCAGCTGACTCAGATTTTACTGGAATAAAGGAAAAAAGAAACCCAGATTACCCTACACAAGAGTTATTTATGAATACTAGGTAGCCAAAAGAGATTTAAATGTAAGATATATCATAAATCATATTTTTTATGGTGAATTGTTTTCCTTTGCTCAAATTCCAGGTAATTTTCTTTTTTTTTTTTTTTTTTTTTTTTTTTTTTGCGCGGTATGTGGGCCTCTCACTGCTGTGGCCTCTCCTGTTGCAGAGCACAGGCTCTGGACGCGCAGGCTCAGTGGCCATGGTTCACAGGCCCAGCCGCTCCGTGGCATGTGGGATCTTCCCGGACTGGGGCACGAACCCATGTCCCCTGCATTGGCAGGCGGACTCTCAACCACTGTGCCACTAGGGAAGCCCCCAGGTAATTTTCTTATTGTTGTTGTTCTAGTATATTCTGTTAGCCCATTGGCTATGTTGTGAAGCTAATGAAGCTCAGGGTTTAGGGTCCCTGATTTGTATGTGACTCTTCCAAAGATCTTTTTCCTCTCATTTGAAATAACATTAATTAAACTAAATTACATTAAATAACATTCCTCTCAATTAAATAGCATCAACTTTTGTACTTAATTTTTTATTTGTAATTTTATATATTTTTCAAAAGTGGGTCACCCAAATTGTATAAATTTCAGGGCCCACAAAACCTGAATCTGCCCATTTTATCCCCTTGGTTGATAAAAGAATACATATTTCCTCCTCAATTTCTTTGACTTATCACTTCTCCTAACTTTCATTAAAGAAAGAAAGAAACAGACAGACAAAGGGATTTTGATTCAGGTGTATTTACAGAGGAACATGTTTCAATATGGCTCTGACCTGTTAAAACCAGAGAATAATTTTATCATTATGCAAAAACTCTTTTATGATTCATTTCCCTCCAAGGCTCAAACTTTCTCTCTTTTTGTAAGCCTATGTCCTTAGAAGAAATAACTGGTCCTTATAGTGGCTGTAACATTATAAGATGTGATAGTTCTACTGAAGAAAAATACATGTAATATTTTAATTCATTTTCCAATTTCGACTGAACATTCCTACCACCATCACTAGTATCTTATAATTTCAAAAGCATTTATGTACAGCTGAATTTGGAAAGGGATGATTTATTCAATTGCTTCATGTAGTTTGGAAACTATGATAACTTCAAACTATGTTAACTTCAAAATAGTCTATTCTGTTTGTATTGTTTTTACATTAAAATTATACTCTCTCACACACAAACATATATATATACACTATGTACTATGGCTGGCCATTTCTAGGAATTTGGGTATTTTTGTCAAAGAAAAGAAGCCTATTTTAAGATTTTATTTTACATATTTTATTTTTATTTTGAGGGGAATCCAAATATCTACACCATGAACTTAGATTCCTATAGCTGCCAGGACTGACAAGAGAATTAGCAAGGCAGAGCCAAGTTCATGCAAGACTGTCTACAGCACTCTTATAGCTAAAGACAAACCAAAATATTGACTAGTTCTTCTCAAAACAGCATGTATAAGTTGTGGCTGAAATAAGCCTGATGTAAGAAAGAATACAGATGGCAGTATAATCATAGGCTGGGTCTACACAGTGCCAAACAACCCATTCAAAAGTGAAAAACTCAGTCGATCACTTGGTAGTTTTGTCTACATGCCACCAAGCAACAGGCTTGACTGACTTCTTCCCAAAATTAACTGAGCTTCTGACTAGACTGAAGCAGATGTTTTATCACTATGTATAGTCAGTATTAGTTATCAAATCTATAATTCAAGTAAGTTTCTTGATGAATGATGAATTTCTTTCCTACATCAAAACAACGTGAAAGTGGTAAACAAAGATCATCTGCAATTTTTAATAATTTTACAGCCTAGATTATGCATGTGCTCTGCACAGTTTAGAGTATGACTGACAAATAGGGTCTCTTCACTTACATGCCTATCTTTAATATTTCATTAATTTACTTGGCATCACTGCAACTCAAATACCCATCGAATGGTAACTAAAATTCACTTTCTTCCTTTACTCAACAATTTCCCTGGTATATACAACGTATTTGCCATGAATATATCAAAGGACTACCTCCATTTACAATGACTGCTTTTGACATCTTTTTCTAGTTCTTAAAAAAAAGGCCTCTTTCACTAAAAAGTAGATCACAAAATCCTTCAAGTATTTCATGATTTAAAAATAAAAACAATGAATAAAAGCCATTTTCAAAATGAATTCTGTGTGAGCAGAGATCTCATGCCTTTGGTCTCTGTTGTGCCTCCCTGCATCTAGAACAGATTGGGCTTTGATATCTATTTATTAAATGAACGATTAGATGAATTGGAGCACACCATGGTGGTAGCCATTGACAACCTGTGGCCCGGTAAGAAGGAAATGGGGGAATAAGGGCTTTAACTCATTCCCCTCCTGTCCTACAAATGTACTGCCCGTGCAGCTGTTGCCGAAACCCCATTGCAAACAAGAAGTTGAGGGAGTCTGTCGAGAACAGAGCTGGGTGGAGAAGAATAGGCTGTGGATCTAGAGTGAGGCAAAAATATAATATTCATTGTCTGTACACTACTGTCCTAGTGTGGAATTACTGAGGATAAAGAGTTTAGCATACATTATAATTCTTACAATTTTCACACATAACACACATGAAAATTACATATGTGTGTATATACAGCTGTATGTATAGGTCAGCAGATAGATCGATGGATAGATCGATGGATAGATGATAGATGAAAACGCTCAACACCTGAAGTCAAAATAATTGATTCTTTCCCACATCCCTTGAAGATGTTGTGTCAAATAAACTTTAAGTTTCTTTCCAACTATATTATTCATTGACATGGGCTAACGTGAATGCCCTGAGAGACCATTTACTTTTAAAAAATGAAAACTTTTATTTAATTAAAAATGTAAAACATGGGCTTCCTTGGTGGCACAGTGGTTGAGAGTCCGCCTGTCAATGCAGGGGACGCGGGTTCGTGCCCTGGTCTGGGAAGATCCCACATGCTGCGGAGTGGCTGGGCCTGTGAGCCATGGACGCTGAGCCTGCGCGTCCGGAGCCTGTGCTCCGCAACGGGAGAGGCCACAGCAGTGAGAGGCCCGCGTACCGCAAAAAAAAAAAATGTAAAACATATTTTAGAGAAGCTGGAAAATACAGAAAAGGGTAAATGAGAAGTACACAACTGCATAAACAATGCTTCCAGGAATTATTCTCTCCTCAGCCTCCACAAGGCACTTGTCAGGAAATAGGATGGTTTTCTGGGTCCATCTCTAATCACTTCCTTTTTTTCTGACTCTGTCCATCTTCCATCCACTATTTTTTATATACTGTCGGTTCTCTTCTTTGCAAGCACAAAGAACAGGCAGGAGAATGAATGGGGAAAAAGCAAAGGACTCCACTCTGGGAAAGCATCTCTGGAAATGTTTACTGCATCAGTATTAATATCTTCCACAGAAAAGAGGACTTGCCTGCCTTCTGAGACCACAGAAGCAACTGCCTTTATCCCAAGTTACCTGTGACATGCCCTAGGGTACAATCTCTACGTGCTTAATGCACAGGTCCTTCGCAGTGTTAACAGTGGGCTGATGGGGAAATTGTACTTTTATCTTTATAAATTTCTATATTTCATTATGTTTTCAGCTAGGTAATGGATGGAGTCTGACTTAGCCCAAGGACCTCTTTCCTGTTTGTGGGGATTTTTTTTTTACCTTCACTTTAAAACCAGGAAGAGAAAAACTTTCTAAACTTACTCAAAGGATATGGAAAATATTTCGTCAAAGCTCTGAATTTCCTGAGCCTGACTTTTAAATAAAACCCACCCAAACAGAAGGAATTGAAAGATTTAGGAGAAAAAAATCATAAAGCACTTATTTTCAGGTTGGCTAAGAAATTCTGTTTGTTTAAACAGAAGCAAACTTCCCATAGCCATTCCCTACCACCCAAACCCATAGCCCTTTCTTTCTGGAAGCATGCATGTTTGCCCTGACCATTAAGGAAGATAGATGCAAATACTTTTTCTATAAGAGGTAGGTCCTTCTTTTGTACACTATGTTAATAATATACACAAGTCAGGGCTACCAATACA